CCCCCCCCCCAAACAAAAAAAAAAAAGACATCTCCTCAAAGCTCCACTCTCAGGGGCCGGCCCAACAGCTCGTTGTCCTTGGCCACGACCTCAAAACCGCGATCGCAGTCTTGGAACTCTTTCTTGGGGGTTAAGGCTTTTTTTCCCTCCTGCATGGCAGAGATCAAAGCTCACAGGCGAGGTTCAATGGGGACAAACAGTCTTGAAGGTCTTAAGATTCATCGACATTCTCATGGGTTAGGGTTTAGGGTTTTGGGGTGTCGACTCTCACTCTCGCACAAGGCATTTTATTGCTCCAGCTGGGGTTTAAGGGGTTTGAGGTGTTGATGGGCCAGGGCTGCTCGGCCCTCACGGCTTATGGCCTACATAGAGGTTCATGGGTAGTTATAAGTAGGGTTATTCTTCCCCTAATATGGGTTAAAATTGTAGTTACCCTGCTTATAACCCCATGTATAACTACCCATGAACCTCCAAACCCTAGACCCTAAACCCCATAGAACCCTTTAAAGGAACCCTTCAAGGAACCCCTTAAAACCCCACTTCTAACTACCCATGAACCTCCTAGTAGATGGGTTTCAGGGCCTAGGGCCTCGGTTTTCGGGTCTTGCGGGATTTGGGCTGCTGGGTTGTTCTGGCTAGAGGTCGGCCGGGCTTCATCCCCTTCCTCGGTTTAGGGTTTAGGGTTTAGAGGTTTAGGGTTTAGGGTTTAGGGTTTAGGGCTTCCTGAGGCCAAGTCGCAGCACGAGACACCGCGCTCTCCGAACAGCTCAAAACGGTGCTGGCGCAAGGCGTAGCATGCGTCCTGTTGAAGGAAACCTGCCCGAAATCCCAAACTAAACTGCACCCAAAGGTGCTCAACACCGCAAAACCAACAGCCCCTCAAAACCCCCCAAAGCCTTGCCCAGATCCTATGTTTGGAAGTCTCAAAGAGTAAGAAGCCCTTACCATCCACCCTGAACGGTGGAGTCCTTCAATATACGTATTCTCAAAGGAGCGACCCCTGCTTTTTCTGAAAGGCTCTTGTAGAAACCCTAAACCCTGTCTGACCCTGAACCCTAAACCTAAACCCCATAGAACCCTTTAAAGGAACCCTTTAAAGAACCCCTTACAACCCGACTTATGACTACCAGCCTGGCGCTGGAGGTCTCCGATCAGCGCCAGGTGGTCATCCTCCTGCATGCGATGAAATCTGGGAGCTAGGACTAGGGGGACCCTTGGGGATATAGACCCTCTCAATAAGGTCCCTTAACCCTAAACCCTAAACCCTAAACCCTAAACCCTAAACCCTTTAAGGGGTACCCCTATTAATACTACCTAAAATCAGAGAGCCTGATCTGCCCCCGGGATTCCTTGGAGGTTCATGGGTTATAAGTAAGGCAACTACCTTAGGGTTTAGGGTTTAGGGTGCATAGGCTTTAGGGTTTAGGGTTTAAGAACCCAAAACCTACTTTTTTGTAGGTTCCCTATGAATCCCATATTAGGGATTATAATAAGAACCTACAAAAAAGTGGGTTTTGGGTTCTTAAGGTATAGCTGTAACCGGCATCTTGAGACGGCAAAGTTCATCGCTGTCAACTTTGGGAATGTAACCAGGCAAGAGCAGTAAGCAAGAATGATAAGCCTAAACAGTAGAGTGATGCTTTTGCGGCGCATGGGCTCCGGAGCGTTCACGCCAATGTCCGGGGGAACCAGCGTTGCTGCGTGCTGAAGTGCCTCGAAGGAAGCACCCCGCCCCTAATTTGTTTGCAAAGTTGTGGGTTTAGATATCGGCGCTTCTTGAGGCAAGTGTCAGAAATATTAGAACGAGGTTCTGGGGTTTGTCATAGCCGGCATAACTACACAAGGGCGTATCAGCGGTCCTTCTCCCAGGGTTTGGGGTTTAGGACCGCCATCTAACCGCTGTACTGTTCTCAACGCTCTGCATGCAAAATGCGATCCAAAACGCAACTTGCCTGTCAAAATCACATATCTTTTTTGCAGGCCTGAGGGGTTGAGCCTTGGACCAACCCAGCAGTCCAAGACCCGTTTTTACACAGGCTTGAGTAGTACTTGCCCCCAAGCCCTAAACACGCAAGTCAATTCTTGCTCCTCTCCCCGCCCAGCTTCAACCTCATGAGTAGCTGTGAATGGGGTTTGCAGCACACTGCGTAGATTTCCAACTGCCTTAGCTTGATACGAAACCCTGAACCAGGCATGTTCTTGAAGACCCTTCTAAAACATCAGAAACAATTTTCTTCCTTCCTATGCATCTACTACTGAAGCAGATCGGCGTTCAAGAACGGCCTAGGGACCCTTCCTACTTTCCCCCCACAGTAATCTTATGGAATCCTTAAGGGAGGGGGTTCTAAGCGGGGTGTATAACCCAGCGATCCCCAATTATCCCTACTACTCCCTTAGGTTCCCTAAAGCTCC